CCCCCGGCCCCTCCCGGCCCCTCTCACCGCCACCCCAGCCTGGTGCAGCCCTGCCCCACGGCAGCACCCACCAAAGGGTGCCGGGACCAGCACCCGCACTCACTTCCCATCCTGGGTCTTCTTGATGATGAACAGGACAACCCTCTTGACGAGCATGAAGAGGACGAGCAGACCGATGAGCCCCCCCACAACGCCCACAATGATGAGCGTCACAGTGTTGTCTGTCTCCACCACTGCAGGAGAAGAAGGTGCTGAGGGGGCTCAGGAGGGGAGCAGGGAGCTCCCAGCTGCAGGGCCCCCTTGAAAAGCAGCAACCCCTCTGCCGGCCGCTGGCCCACGGCACAGAGGGGTGGGCAGCCAAGCCTTGCCCTTCAGGCATGCCCACCGCCTCCAAGGAGCCAGGACAACCGTGAGCCAAGGTGGGGCCAGCCCGGGTTTGCATCCCCACCGCGCCAGCACTACTCGCAGGGCACGGGACCCATGACCAGCACTTACTCTTCTGGACCACGGTGAGGAAGATGGTGGCGTTGTGCTGTGCGTCCTTCTCCTTGGGGTTCTTGACATGGCAGGTGTATTTCCCAGCATCGCTGAACTCCACATCCTTCAGGACGATGGAGATGTTGTTGTCCTTCCCGGTTGTCGAACCGACGAACTCGACCCGCGGGTTACGTGCCACGAGGATGGGCTCCGAGGCTTTGCTCTTTATCTTGCCGTGGTAAATCTGCAGAGGTGGGGAAGCAGGATGCGGGGTTCAGCTGCGCTCCTGACGACGCCAGCTGAGGGAAAGGCTCGAGCTCTCCTGTCGGTGCGCTGCCCCACCTCTGCACACACAGATACACATGGCCAAGCGTCCCGGCACACCCCGCTAAAGCAAGAATGCTGGTGGAGGGGGACCTGATGCGCTGCCCGCCGGGGAAGCAACCGATCAATCTGACTTGCCCCGCAGCAATGCTACAGACCACGCAAAAGGTGGGAGAAGCCCAGGGCAGAGAGGGTCCCTGTGCTCCAGGGCCATCCAGGGCCGGCCAGCCTGCGAGGACAGCCCTCCTGCTACGGAGTTGAAGAGCAGAAAAATCCCAGCAGGAAGCAAACCTACACCTTTAGTATTTCAGAGCCAGCACAGGAGGAGAAAATTAACTACGTGTTGCCCAAAGCGCAGCCTCGCACCCGAACAGCCAATTTATGACCAATTTGCGGCAAGAAATGAGCCTGTGGGCAGCAGAAACTCCAGACCAGCTTTGTGCCAAAAGCACAGACATGCCAGGGTATTTGAGTCACCCTGTTTGCACAGCCCTGTCTCCCCCAGAGCTGGAGACACTCGGAGGGAGGCCATCCTGCAAGAGGAGAAAGGGAACTCCATGAGCACTGCAGTGCTGGTCTGCACCGGGACAGTACAAAAGGATCTGCCAGGAAAAGAGAGACAAAGCCCCGAGAGCCACCCACCATCTCTGTCGAGTTGAAATACCACGTGAAGACCAGGTCCTGAAAGCCTATGCAGGTGGTGAAGGTGCAGGGCAGCAGGACATTGGAGTTATTCAGAGCCATCACAGTGTTGGTCTTCCCCACCGACACCTCCAAGGTGAAGGCGATGGCCAAGACATGCAGACCTGGCAGGGAGAGGGGAGGAGAGAGTGAGGACACGGCACCGGCACGCAGCCCAGCCTGCCGCCGGGCACCCTTGGGGCAGATGGGGCAGGGAGGAGAAGGGTGCACGGCAGGGACCACTCTCCCCTGCTGCAGCCCGGCCTCCGGCTGGAGCTGCAGCC